CTGGCAGAGCACATTGCCATTCCTCGTTACGCATCCCTCAACCTCCTTTCAATGTGTGGCGGCTACTTAAAGTTTGCCCCCGCCCCCGTACCCCATACCCTATCTGAGTGGCAGTCTGCCTCTATGTGCGATGTGTCTACGTGTCCGTGTGTGTGTGTTGTGGCTGTGATGCAGTTATGCGCATTTCCGCCTGAGTAGCTTCTGACTTTGCTTTTGCTTTTGCTTACCTATCCTCATGCATGCCAGGGCCGCAGGATGGGGAGGCACTTACACATACAGGACCACCTACCCTACCTGTATGTTTATTTGTGGGGGCGATGGAAGAGGCAAACAGCGAGGGTTATGACAAGAGTTTTTTTGTCCTAAGAGGTGTGGAGAATGCCGCTGATGTACTGCATATGCCAGGAATACCGCAGATCGAATGGAATTTTCATGAAAATGTAAATACAAGAAAACGTTTCCATCTCAAAATATGGCAATGTGTATGAAAATGGATACGAACTGAAAAACAGTGCACCCCGATGTAGTTTTATTTTATAGGTACAAGAATATTTTCTAAAATTATTTTATAGTTCTAAAATGTAAAAATAATAATTTTCACTTATTGTTTTTTAGTTGTATGGAAAATTGATTTCTCTCGAATGATTTTTCTCACTTTTAGGTATCAAACGTATAAATAAAACTGATTCAATACTTAAAAAATGCTTAAATTCAATACAGACTTATTAAAAAGAATCCCTAAAATCTGAGAAGAGGATGATTAAGAATACTCTCTGCAATATTTTGTGTATTTGGGATAATCAAGTATTGAAAGATTCCACCCCTAATGCACCTGCATCTGCCCTGAACTCTTCCATCAACCCTCTTGAATATGCAATTGCCTCGTACATAAACAACAAGAGTGGCAACAGTGCAAGCTGCAGGAGGAGCAGGAGGCACCCACAAGGACACACACACACACACTGATGTCACTCATTCGCTCAGTCGAAACTGTCAATGCTCGTTTCAATCTTTGTATTTTGTGCTTTTGCCTGCAATTGGCAGCCAGGGCAAGGGCAGCATTACATTTGCTTGATTGAACTTCGCCTCCATCACCGACACAGCCGACACAGTCGCCACTTGGAGTTGTCCCGGGTTCAGCTACTTGTCCTGCTGCTGGAACAGTTGACAGTCGAAAAAATGCTGGGGCTAACCTTACAGACTTTGGCCATAAACCTCTGATAGAAAGCCAGACGAGACTCATCGATGGCAGATCATCGAGAAGCGAGAGAGCCCCAGGCAAGAGTCAAGCAAGAGAGAGACCTGATACGGTTATAGGAGACTCCACTCAACTTCACGTGCATGTCTCTAAATGCATAAACACCAAAACCCACAAACCCCCCGCACAATCCACATACAAACCCTGACCCACATTCCCTGACACTGCCCCAAAGGCTGGCACTATGTGGGGCGCAGCTTCCAGCTTCCAGTTACAGTTACAGTCACAGTCTCCCCGTCACAGTTCTGTTTCAGTTGCTGTTGCAGATACCAGTTACAGTTGCAGTTACCAGCTACCAGTTGGAGTCCCTTTTTTGTGGCATTCTTTATAGCGGGTGCAATTTAAAGTGCACTCTTCATCAGCGTTGGCTTGGGCGAAAAGTAAACTTGAAAAATATATATTTACCAGTATGTATCTCCTTTATGTTCAGTCGCTGCTGTCGCTGGCTGGTTCTGTTCTGTTCCTCTGAGCCATCACTTAATCTGCCAAAGTGATATAACAATGAAGCAAAATGGCAAAAGACGGATAAGTAGATCAACAATGAAATGGTGAGAGTACCAGCTGAGAGAGAACATAAATATATTATTAGTATTCCAGAAAAAGCAAGGGGAACCTGGAGTTGGAGTGTGTTGAGATGTTCTAGAGGGATAAGTAAGATCGGGAATTTACAGGTTTTGTTTACTAATTGTTGATGCATTAAATTAGTTGCAGATATGCCGCGAGTAATGGGACACATAGGACATACAGAGGAAAGATGATAAATAGGCTTGAAATGATAATAATGAACCCTACTTATACATGAATATACATAAGATAGATTAGATGTCTCTTTGACTCCCACATCACCATCAATTTTGAATACATTTTTGCTGCCTCTTTGTTGCTTCTCTTTCAATTTTCAACTGGGTATTCTTTATACAGTATTAACCCAAAGTAGAAGCATTCGTTTCAGTTTGCAAAGCATATAGCTGTTGGGGCCAATTGACTGTGACAGCCACAAACAGAGACAGAAAGTAGAGGACGAAGGAGACACAGAGAGACCGAAGCAAAAACAGCGAGGGCGAAGGAGACACAGAGCCAAGGCTGGAATGGGGAAAATTGTAGTTTGTTGGGAGTTTGGGCACTGGCAAGAGAGATGGGATGAGCCCAGATAGTTTTGTTTTCCATGGAAAACTTTTTGCCCAGTCTCACATTTCAGTGAACTGTCGTAGTCGCTCGGCGACTGTTGTTCTTTCTAAGCATATCAATTAGGTTTGGCGTTGGCTTTTTGGACTGTGGCTTTTGCTTTGCCATCCTACTGGTTAGTTGGCTCATCATTTGCATCCAAATTACACTATCTCATGGCGCTCCCTCCCACATAGGAGTAGCGCTAGTAGATCTGAAAGTCCGCTTTCGGGGGAAGCACCAAAGTTTACAGCTTTAAGCCAAATCACAGTATGAGAAAACAATTGTGAAACTCACAAAAGCTGATATGTTGCCAGCCAAAAGGAAGAAAAAAAAAAACATTGTTTCAAAAATAAAACAAAAGTTTAACTCTTTTAAATTAATTTAAACGCTTTTAGCGCTTTTCACGCCCCTGACCAGGGAAGCTGCTGCCGCGTCTCCTCCTGACTCCAGTCGTCGTCGCCTTTATAGACGTCTTGGCAAAGCGTGGCAAAGTTTTCTTTCGGCTTTGTTAACAAAAGTCACAAAAAGAAAGCAACAAAAAACAAAACAAGAACAGGAATGGATGGCGACGATGAAAAAAAGTGGCAAAGTTTTCCCTCAAAGGCACAACACAGAGAAATGGCGGGATAATGCTGGCTGCAGCGAGTGGCGTAAAGCAGCAAGGAGTTATAGATGCCCTATAAAAAGGGTATTATAAATAGAATTAGTTTTATTTGCTCAGTTGATCAATTTATTGGCAATTTACTCTTCGATTGTGTTTCTACAGTGGCTGCTTATTGCATTTCTTGCTGCACTTACTCGCTTTCTAACACTGTTTTAGGTTGCTTAAGAAGTTACAAGCTGAGTGGGAACGCTGGTGAGAATTAAGAAGGTCGGCAAAGAGTTACAAACACAAATAACACTTTCTCAATTGTTACATTTAATGCCCGTTTCGTCACTCTCTTTGTCTAATTGCTGATTAAATTAACACGCTGTTAAACACTGGTTAAGCCTCTTATGAACTGGCAATGCAGCGAATGGAAATAATTGTACATTTTCTTTTTTTTCTGACACGTTAACTTCCATAAATATCCAAGGAATATCTAAAATTTTCCCTCCTTTTTCGAATCTCCAAAGATGAATGCTTTAACCTTGAAGGGCATTGTTTGGAATCAAAGTGCCGACCGCCATTCAGGCAGAATGCGTAGCGCATGCCAATTGTGCAATTGTTGGAAAATTTTTACTTCTATTCCTTGCTTTTCCCTGGCTAAAAACTTGCACGTTGTGGTGCTCTCGTATTTCCTACAATTTTGTCCATGCTCTCTGCCAAGCCCGTAAACCGAGTAGGTTGTGGACTGCTGGGCTTTTGGGCACCGCTGCTGTCTTCCGAGATATATGTATGTAGGTGTTTGGCAACCATGAAGAAGTTGCCAAGTTTCAATTTACGGAATTGTGTGTGTGGGCACCAACCAATCCACGGCCATTAGTCGCTTTGATCAAATATTTAAAGCTAATGAACAAGGTTGCCAACAAAAAACGAAAGCAAAAAATGCTGGAGATATCGAAACTAAGCTCGAATGTTGGCAAAGGCCAGGCAACGAGTTCAATCAACCTGACAAATTTCAATCAAGTTGTGGCAAAAAAAAAGAGGCACACAGCTCTCTCGTGTCTCGTGTGCCCCCAGGTACCCATACCCAAGCCGAGTCACGCCACAGTACAATTAGGATGCCGTTGAAGTTTTGTCAATGAATGGAAAGCGTCTGCAACTTTTATTTAACTTGTGAGCAGAGAGAGGCAGATACACATAGGACCGGTATAGAGGAATCCAGAGCTTGGTCAACACAATTGCCCCACGTACATAGCTGGGAAACGGAAGGAAGAGGAGAGACTCTGACTTTTGCACTCACGTGCACTGACACACGCACACACAGAAACACATTTGACTGTTTACGGCAACAACTTGAAATACTCTAACGAAGTTGTGAAGGGTGTAACGAATTGAAATAAGCAATGAAATATGGTAGATAAGCAGGAGATACAGGAGATAAGTGTTGAACTGGCAGAATACAAAATACTAAAACAAGGCAGTGTTGGTCAGTGCATAAAATTATTAAAAATACGAGCCAGTGCCTTTCTGGTTGAAGTTTCTGGTAATGCACTAGAACATTTAAAATTGGCTTTGCCTCGCCATTTTTTTCCAGCACTGCTTGCCCTTGTCATGGGCCACAACTTAAATTGGCTCTGGCTGGTGGGGTTAGCCACAGCTGCTGTGGTCTAGCGCCGGACTCGGGCCTGCCACAACATTTCTCCCGGTGCACAGTTCAGTGCGATAAGTAAAGCAAAGCAGAGCAGAGCAGGGCAACAACGGGCTCAGCCTCGTTCAGTTTGCAGCTACGCGTTCGTACATCAGCTGTCAGCATATCAAGCTGCACAACCCATGCCTCACCGACTGACCCCGGACAAAGCTAAAGCTGTTTTCTCTCCCTGTGTCCCCCCCTTCATGTGCTAATCAGTCGGTTCGATTCGATGTTTACACTTGCGATTGCGACTGAGAGATTGCCGCTGATGCTGATGCTGATGCTGCGATGGGCAGATGCCTCAATCAGTTGGCAAGCCCAAGCCCTATTGAGAAGATGTTTGAGTGCTCGTTGATTCTGTGTCTGTGCCTCGCGTGGGTGGTGGTCGATGTGGCTGTGGCTATGGCCGCTGTGGATCCACTTTTGCCACTTAATGCCAAGGACTTTCAGCTGGAACTGCTGCGTGGAATGGCCGAGCAGGCCGAACGGCGTGTGGAAATGAGTCTCAATGATTTTCTGGCCCAGATGGAGGCCAATCCACGGTTCAGCAACTACACGGCGGAATTGAGTGCGGCGAGAGCCACTAAAATACTGCCACAGAAGGTGACGCTCATCAAGCAGGTAATAGATGCCCATCATCATCCGGATACGAATCTGGAGCACACCTCTGTACTGCGGAATCTTGTGTTTCTCAATCGCCTGAAATCAATGATCACGGCAGCTGTTGACGCCAGTGCCCTGGAGATGCGGCAGCTGCGTTTTCATCGTCTATGCCAGCAGTTTGATCGCCCAGTGCCCAGGCCCAGGAGACCACATCACCTCATCAACGATCAAACTGTGGGAGCGGCTCTGGAGCAGCTGAACCTCACTCGGAGCGAGGGCAACATCACCAGCATAGATCTCAATCAGTTTGGACAGCAGCTCTACGATCGGGTGAAGCTGTCGGGCGCCGAGATCATCGACAACTATCTGTTGATCCTCCGCGACGTCTTGCAGTATATCATCGAAGGCGAGCACGAAGATCTGGCGGACAGCACCCCAAAACTGGACGACATGCTGCAGCAGTTGAATGATATGTTGGCCACTCACGACTTCTTCGAGAAGCGTCAGAAGGTATATGCCTATCTGGAGCGTCATCTGACGACAGACTACGAGCAGCTGCGTGAGACAGCCAGTGCCGAGCAGCATTTGACGGAGAAACTGCTGGAGCAAATGAAAGCCAAGGGTCTGGACTTATTCGTCACCTTTCTGTTTAGCAATTTTGAGTTCTTGGAGCTGGTGCACGAACAGTGGTCACTGCTGCTGCCACAGACGCCCAGTTTGCTGTACGACGACACCTCGCGGCAGCTGTACGATCTCCAGCAGCTCTACGAGATCTTCAAGCTGGACACGGAGAGTGAGGCCAAGTACGATGCCTACGCGGCGGCTCTGCGACAGCTGCACGAGCGCACCGTGGAGCAGGGACAGCGGAATCGTCACATCTTTGAGCTGCTGTGCAATGCGGCACAGAATGTGGGCAGTGTTACCTTCAACATGATCAAGGCCAAGTGCCAGGACTTGCTTTAGGCTAAGACCAGAAGATTGCAAGATTATCTCTCTAATAAAATAGTATTCTGACGGCAAGCAATCTGGGTAAAACGTTGAAGCGGAAACAAGGATTGAAGGATCAAAGCTCTTTGATGGCATAAGATATCTCTGGTGCTGTTGCTGTCGCCTCGGGAGGGATGCAAGTTTCTTAGTTGCACAACTTAATTATATTTTGCAATTCGTTGTTGCATCTGGCAGCTTTTAATATCCGTTGGGGAGCTGCATCTCTTGGCATCTGTCGCATGGGACGTCGTTCAAATGGCCCAATCCCTGCCACTGAGGCTTCATTTTGCCGCATTATGCTGATGCCCATTTTGCCCCGCTTGCCCCGATTGTTGCTGCTAGTATTTGTTGTTTATCTACCATGGAATCCAAGTCGTGCCCTGCCCTGAATGACCCCCGCTGCGTGAGAGGGGGAACTGCCAAACTAATGACTGCTGCTTCCACTGTCGTTGGCCAAAGCCAGCTAATTAATTGTCGTCGTTGCAGGTGATTAGAACTTAAATGAGTTGCCTGCCGTTGCATCACAGAGTAGAAGCAGCATCCGGGATAGACAGGACAGCAACGAGCCAGCAAGGATAGCGATGATACCAAAACCAAAAACCCATAATGATGCTCCCTCCCAACTATGTGTAGCTGACAGCCATGGACCATGGCCCTTGCATGCCCATCCCCCTCCCCCACCAGTCTGTCTGGCCAGATGACATTTCATCCCGTGTATTGACCAAACAAAATGATTTCACATTTCTGAATCGCAATTTGGATGTCAAAAGTGTCATAAGTCCTGTAAAAGGGATTCTATGGCACATGTCTGTAAAATAATTTGGCAACTTCAAATAGTAGACATACAGCGAAAGCAAAGGGAATTAGTAAATGCACTCAACCCCTACAATTGAATGTGTAGTAGACACAAGACTGGAAGTAAAAGTACAAAAAGCAATCATTGAGCCTTAGCAATTTTCAGCTAATTTCTTTGTTACATCTAGTAACGAATTTTAAGATTAAATAAAAGATATTCGTTTCCGAATAGTTACCTAAAAGGAACTGAATATTGGTTATATTATACCTTTAAGAATTGATAGCAAGCAGCTTTATTGCACATATAAAAATGTATATATGTATACATTGATGGCAATACAAATGCGAATTGTGTGTCCCATGGCCGTGGCACTGCCACGTAGAAAGCTATGCACACCCGCGCATACATCGGAGAGCTGCCAAGCTGCCAACCGTTTGCACAACATTTATCACCTTTAATGCACCAAACACAACAGCAACACCAACACAGTCGGGGGCTGGCAGCAGCGGATGGGGCCTGAGTGGCGCTCATCCTGGAAACAAAAGGCAATATATGTTGCAGGCGGCCAACGTTTACAAACGATACAAAAGTAGCAGCAACCAAAGCAACAACAATGCAACGAAATGCAATTTCACACTAGGCTAAACCGAATGCCTGTACCGGACCCAGGAACTGGGACCCTGGACTCTCGCATGGGGGGTACTCCGGCAGTAACCAGCTGAACCCGTAGTCCGAAAAAGGCAATGCTCGCAAAAGGGTGTAAGGCATAAAATTTAATTATGATTTATGGCTTTGGCAGACCTTTGTCCGCATGCAGAGAGGCTCAAACATAACATTTTATTTCAAAATCGAATTTAACCTTGTATTCCCCTTGGATCTGATCAGATATGATGCCACTCAAAAATCTTTCTCACAGAAACTAGATTTTATCAACAGCTTCTCGTGCTGTCAAAACCTCGAATGAGAGGGGCTTTCCTTTATTGCTCTTAATTTTTAAGTATTCCCATAAATCTCTGTATCCAAAATTAGAACTATAAAAATCCACAGACACTTAATGGAAATGTGTTCTATTTATATATAGAGGGGGGAAAGACAAAAAGAAAACTCAAGGGTGCGAGCAAAACGAATTGAGTGACTGCTTTAATTACTATACTGATTCCAACACACACTTATCTATGTACTTCCCCTCTGTTTATCTTTGCAGTCATCAGCGAAGATCCCGAATTCACAGAAGTGATTGAGAACATTACTGTACCCGCGGGGCGTAATGTCAAATTGGCCTGCTCGGTCAAGAATCTGGGCTCCTACAAGGTGAGTTCTTACTTCTGTATTTATTACGAAAATCATAAATAAACTCTACTCAGCGTTGGGTGTATTGGTTTTAAATAAACAATTGATTGGTTCTTGGAAGGACTTACAGTCAAATTGGGATGAAAGCAACTGAAAAAAGAAATCATTTTATTACTTTTGAAACTTATACAAATTAGCAACAAATATAAAATTAGCAATATTCGACATAACAAAATAGGAATAATATATTAAAAAATCAGAAATAATAACAATACAAAATTAATAATAAATAATATTATTTCGACTTTTTTTCATTTGAGTTTTAAATATATTTTTGCTTATTTTAATATTATTTATGGGCTGTTTATATTTGATTAATATAATTTCACTTTTACTTTCTAGTTTTTAAAGCATTTTATACCCAATTTTGAACATTTATTTCCATGTAGCCTTCTCTTGCACAGCTCAGACCTGTACTTTGGTCTCTTAAAAAAGAGCTTTCACTGCCTGTGTGACTACTGTAGTTGGTTTATGCCTATGTTGCACACATATATGTATGTACGTAGACGCATTTCCATAAACTTGAGTCGCCTCCAGGGGCATTTGCAAGTGATGCAGGACAGAAGGACAAGAACAAACAAGTCCAAGGCTCTTGCTCCCCCTCTCTCTCCCTCTCTCACCGGACTCGGGAATGACTAGCAACAGGCGCCTTCTTGTTGACTCTCTCTGTAGCTCTTTCACTCACACTCCTTCTCATCGTTACACCCCCTCTCTCTGCCTTTCTCTCTCCCTGTTTCTCTGCCAACAACAACTGCTGTCATGTTTGCCTTTTGCTTGGGCTAAAACAAAGTTGGTCAACGGCAGAATGGGGGACAAAAACAACTCGAGAATTTTGTTTTCGTCTTTAATGAAGTAATTTGTGAGTCCCGGGGACCGAAATTCAAGTTGAGCCAAAAATTAATGGTTTTTCCGGCATTCAAGGCATGACTGAAGCAATGAGAGAGGACAAAATTGGCAGATGGCAGACAGACAGACAGAAAGCCAGCGAGTGGTGGAGAGCGGGGGAAAGATGAATGGCAGAATGGACTGACTCTGGTCACTAGCTCATCGACACTGCTCAATATTCATTGTCTGGTGCATACTTTTAGGCGGCGCTTGATATGCATAGCAGTCTGGCTATCTTTTTCACTCATTCACTTACTCTCTCTATCTATCTTTCTCTCGCTCTTTCTCTCTGTCTGTGTGCATCTATCCTATGTGTATGTGTGTAGAGTGTCGGCAATTTAAATTTGCATCCAATTGAATTTCCATAATGTGCGTGCGACCGAAACGTGCATAAATTTCATTTTGACACGATGCTCCTTGTCTCTGCCTCTTGCTCTCTCTCTCTCTCTCTCTCTCTCTCCCCCCCCCCCTCTTAATGCTATCCCTCTCTCTGTGTCTGCTCTTTCTGGCTCCCTCGCCGCATGTTATGTGGTGCTCGTAATAATTTTTATGACCCTTAAGTTTTGGCATGCCCCAAAACCCCTCAGATCCCAGCGAAGCATCGCCAACCCCGCCAACCCCGCCAACCCAACCATTCATTCATCTCTTCAGCGCTTCCTCTCTCGCTGTCGTTCTCTGTCTCTGTCTATATATCTCTGTCTCCTGCCCTGCCACATTGGCCTCAGGTAAGCTCAAAAGTTAACCGGCAACAAAAACAACAAACGCTGGAACCGCTCGTAGCTGCAATAAAACGTGACTTTGCATGCAAAATAGTTGCGTAGTCGACGGTTAAGAACAACCTATGTACGCCTCACTCCTCCTTCTGATACTCCTCTGCCCCTGCTCCTGCTCATTCTCTTGCTCATCTCCATCATCCTCGCTAACAGCCAGGTTACTTGGAATTGATTTTTATAGACCATGTAGCGGAGGGGTATGACTGCTTGCTAAGAGCTCTGGTCACAGCTGCGAACGAATTTTGAGAGGGTCTGACAATGATCAAGACAAGAGATTTAAGCATTTTCATTATTGAACACTGCAGCAGCAACTGTATTTTAAACTAGGGCTTTATAGATATAATTAATCTGTGAAGAATTTTGAGTTGGAAGCAGTTGAGTTGAAGGAGACAAAAGGATATTCAGCAACTCCTTTATTCTACGAATTAGTTATTATTTATAATACATTTACTCGCACTGCAAATCCCCCATTTTCTCTTACTTCTCTTCTCTCAACTGAAAGAGCATACCCACTTCGTGCTACTCTATTTAATTTATTTTTGTTGTTTTTTTTTTTGCTCCATTTCCGTCTGTGCAAATATTTGAGCTGCGTGTAAATTAACTCGCGTAGTGCTGCGACGCTCCTTTTAACACGTTTACGCTTAAATTGTTAATATTAAGCGAGATGCTTTTCATTTGCCAAGCTCACCCACGTCCCCTCCAAAGCTCCTTCCCACCATAAGTACCCCAGCACGATTTTCGTGCCCGGCCAAGACTCCCGAAGACCGTGTCTTTGTTTGTGTTTCAATTTTCAACGCCTACATAAACAGTCGAGACAGAGACTCACACACACACACACACACAGAGAGATATATGAACACAAGAACATACACACACTCAGTCAAATACACTTGGAATAACGTTGGGTAGACTTTACTTTCAGGGGCCGAGGCTATTGACACTCTTAAAGATTGATTGGTATATTTATCTTTAAAGTATAAATAATACTTGAAGCTGGTTGTTGGATTTTGGTTAGAATACGAGTATCTTCAGTTACATTCTTCATGGAAAAAGGCAATGATATAAATTAAAATTAAAATGCTTTTCATGCTAAATCTACTCCATAAATTCGCAGATACAAACTCATCTAGAAAACCTACAATACCCACTTGCCAATTGTGCAGTAACGTCAGGAACATGAGCATAAGTTTCGTTTGTTTATGTTTGTGTTTGTACTGCTTTTGCCCCCGCCTTGCCACCGCCACACACTCTCCTTCCTGGGTTCGCCCTACCATACAAAAGCATAAACATTTTCAGGAATAATAAAGTGTGTTTATTTTTGCTTCGGCTAAAAGTTTTTTCTAGTTGTTTTCCTTTTTAGTTTTTGTTTAAAATTTTATGACTTCATTTAGTGTTTTTGGTACGGACAGGAACAGGACAGGACTCAGAACTACTAGAAAAGGAAGGAACAGCCAAGAGTGAAGAGTGAAGAGTTGTGCCATTACGTAAATTGCAAATTGGCCATTCTGTCTGTCGTCTGCTATCGACTGAGGCCATCAGCATATGGCCAGGCCACAGCCATGAAAATGAAGATAAATACGAGTACGAGAGCAGATTTCAAACATCACCAAATGGGGCAAAACTACTTGAACATGTCGCATTTTTTTTGGGGGGCAACCGACGAGAGACTTTTGCGAGTGTGAGATGACAGATGTGACTGGAGCTGGAGCTATATGTTGAGCTGCCACTTGGGAAAGGGGCTACGATTATTGACTGTAGAATCAATTCCTAGTCAATAATGGAAATGAATCAACTCTGACTTGAATTTGGATCAGGAATAAGAGGTACCACTGCAATCCCTAGCCATAAATTCAATTTATTTAATTGTTCTCTTCCACAAAGCACTTCCACATGTTCCACTTACGGAAAGTCCAAACCATCTATGTAGCGTCAAGTAACTCAAATTAGCCAAAAAACTTTAAAACTGAGATTAAACTGGAGTGCGCCTCAAGCCGCACAGCCTGAGGATAATCCAGCAGCGGGACCTTTGCCATTCCCACCCAGCCATAAATGGACTTAAATATGCGTAAAATTTTAATAGGAGCAGCTGCAGCTGCTACTGGGTGCTGGGGAAAAGCCTATTAAAAAGTCACACCGTCAGAGGGCCGGGCCATAGCCCAGTGTCAACTTTGCCTTGACTCTCGCTGACATTTTGCTCTTCCGAAAACCCAAAATATAGTTTGGCCAAAGGCCACACCCACACACATTCACAGAGGAGTCCACTTTTGTTGGCCATACATGGCGCCTAATTAATTTCATTCAAAAGACCTAAAACAAAAAAACAAGAAAACCGAACCAAAATTTGTAAAATGAAAATGGTAAACGGCAATTGACTTAATTCGGTCCAGGCAGAATTTTCCGCTTAAAGCCAAAGTGTGAATAGAAAGCTTAAATGCAGTTGGAAAATGCACTTTTATTGATTTTTATTTCTGACGCGTTCTCCGCTCTTGCTGATAAATGAAAATGCATTAATTTTCCATGCTATACAGAAAGCTGACTTTTAATATGCCAAAGAGTAGACGAACAGACGAGCTGGGGCGTAGACTACCCGTCCCAAAATGTAAAATATGAAGTCGCCTGCCTTCTCAACTTTAGTTTCGATTCCTGGGATCTCGTGGGGTCTGATGCACGTTTTCATTGCAGACATTGAAAAATTAACCGATATCTGTCTCTGTTTGTCCTGACACTATCAAGGGGGCTGACTGACTGGCGGACTGGCTGGGTGGCTGGCTGCCTGGTTGTCTGACTGGCTGGCTGACTGGCAAGGATTGTGCCCCTTGATAGTGGCTTGCTTTTCGGTATTCTATTAGCTTTGTTTATCTCCCTTGCTATGTCTCTCCTTTTTTGGAATTTATCATTGCAATGGCATCGACACAAAACACATTTTCCCCCCACGAGCAGCACATGTTCTTCCCTGCCTCTTTGCTCGCTCCGTCTGCCTCGCATTTAGCACGTCTTAGTCAATGGAATGGATGCTTAAATTTGCATAAATTGCTTGTTGTTTTCGCACCCAAAAAAGGCACAGCAAAAACTATTGCATAATTCGGCGGGCGAAAAATATTTCACCAATGACGCACGCAGGCGGCTGAAATTTTTCGATTTTTTGCGGTGTCGCAACATCTGCCAGTCACATGTGGGAGAGGAAAAAAGTTTTGACCGGATATATGCCATCGTTAATCCTTCATAAGAATTGATGATGATGGGCCCGAAGTTTGGCCAATAAAAGCGATGACACTTTGTCATCAGCTGAACTAATAAATGGGGCAACTTGATGAGACACATTGCTGGAAGACCGATATCCTGTTACCATATTCACGTACAGTGGCACCTAAAAAGGTGTAGAAGTCACTACAGATATTTCATAGATTTTCACTGCAACCTTCTAGCATTGTTTTACTGTAGCTCACACTCCCTCTTTTTGTGTATATTATTCATTCAAATTGGTATACATTTTCGTTGGATCTATTCACAGGTGGCGTGGATGCACTTTGAGCAATCGGCCATTCTTACTGTACACAACCATGTGATAACGCGTAACCCGAGGATTAGTGTGACCCATGACAAGCATGACAAGCATCGCACCTGGTTCCTGCACATTAACAATGTCCAGGAGGAGGACAAGGGACGTTACATGTGCCAGATCAATACAGTGACGGCCAAGACCCAATACGGCTTTGTCAAAGTTGTTGGTAAGTGTAAGAAAGCGGCTGAGTTTTTAAAGCCTTTGCATGTCCTCTATTGTACATTTATCTTTGCCGTTGCCGCATATTCCAATTACAGTTCGACCCATAAAAGTGTGCTTTAAAAATGCTCCATATTTGGGGGGAAAATTATGGGGGAAACCCCAAACCCAAATGTAAATGCAGATCTCTGCATGTTTCCAGCATGTCCCCTGGCTGATGTCTGACAACTGCATTTGTGTGTGTGCGTGTGTCCATATCCGTTATTAGGTATTCGCCCAGTGTTGACCAAGGGTGGTGTTTCATGGTGTTCCATGACCATAGTAAGCTCTCCTACCCCTCTCCCACCAGGACGCATTTTTGCCAGCTGCTAGAAGAGAAATCATTTATGGTTGGACTTTAGAGTCAAGTAATAGAGAAACTGACTGACATTCAAATGGAGTTTTGGAGAGTAGACAAATATTTAGCTAAAACAGAAGCACAAGTTGAGCGCTATTAAATGGGTGTGTTACATTGCTTTGAAGGAAGTCAACTACACAAACTATAGAAGTCCATCAACTCTTTTTTGCAAAACGGCGCCAATAGCTTCCCATTGATCCATTCTCTCGATGCCTATCACAGTTATCATTTAAAATATCGATTGAGTCCCTGAAAAAATTCGCTACCTTTTTGCCAATCCCATTCCACTATCGACTTCTAATTTCCGCTTTTCAAATCGATGACTGCTAAATTGTTCATCAAACAAAAACCTGCAAATTGCTTGCGGTTACTTTTAGTTACTCGCTCTCTATAAAAAAAAGAGCTAAACAAAATGGTAATGGCCACAACCAAATCGAAAATCAAATAATGGAGAAACTCCCTACGAATACACACGCGACACACAACAAATGTTAATTGCTCTTTGTTTGTCCATTTGGCAGTGCAGAGTTTTCAATGTTAATTGCTTGGCAAATGCACATTTTATTTGGGTTTTTTACGTGAGTGGGCAAAGCGATTCGCTGGCAAATAAACCTAATAAAAAATATGCCGAAAACAACTTTTCAATGTGCTGCTGCTGGAGGAAATGCAAGAATTTTCGAACAAGATCCGCTTTTCAAGTTGACAAATCAACATCATCCGGTGGACAAACAGAACGACGGGACGCAAAGTTCAGTTCACATCGTAACTGAATAGCACTGAACAGCAGTCAGATGCCCCAATGGCTATGGCTACTGCATGGGGACATGGGCAATGGGACACAGCGGACAGCAGACAGCAGGCAGCAGACTGTGGGCGTGCCACTAGGCCCTCTCGCATAAATCAGTTTTTGTGGCAAAACTTGAAAAATATGTGCGCAAACAAATGGCAGGCAGCGTACGATGAAGTGAAAGGAGGAGAATGGACCGGCCACACAGTGCCGTGCAACAGTTAGAACGGAAACAGCAAGAGGGAGATGCAGACGCAGAGGCACTGTGGCACTGTAGCAGAGACACCGACATAGACATAGACGCCGCATGGAAATGCAAGGACACATATGCTGCACGTTGCAGGATTTCTGTTTAGGCTGTGCTTTTGGCTTAAAATATACCCTTTAAGATTCTTGATTCTTCTTGATTCTAGATTCTTGTTTAGAAAGAAAGTAATGTTAGAGACTGTGCTTTGATGATTCATTGGGATAAACAGGAAGGAATAAACACCCAAATCCTCCCTTCTCAAAGCTGAACCTTCGAATCTTTCATTATAAATCACTCTCCCACCCAGATTTAAATATATAATTGAACCTTACAGATAGTTCAATGCATTGCACATCAATAAGCTAAATGGCAGCTTTCCAGCTTTCACGCACATATCTGGCGCTGGCCTACTCCACCCATTTCAGCATACCCCTTAGCACTTTTGCCAGGTATAAAAATGGCTGTGGCATATTTTAAAACATTTTTTCCTGCCTTTTCCGTATTCGTTTGCTCGTTTTGTTGGCTTTGACCAGACCAGCGGCCGACCAGAGAGCTGTCATAGTGGTATTTTTTCATATATGTATATTTTTTGTTTTGCTTTGCTTTTGCCTGGCCTCCCTCCTGGCAAATTTGCCTTGCATTCTTCGTTGGTCCCCGGACTTTTGCCACATCAGCGTGTGGCCTGTCGGGGCAGGCCTGTCTCTTCCCTATACATGTCTGTGTGTGTGTTGTTTCACTGTCTGTGTGAGATAACTGTAATCTGTGTGTGCGTGTGCAAAAAATGGCAAAAACGGCGACAACGTTGCACCGAAAAAAAAGCAAAAACAGCAAGGAGAACGGTAAAAAATTCGTGGAAACAGTTGCCGTCGCCGTTGCTCTCTGGTCACGGCACATCAAATTGCGAGGACGCGTGGTGCGTGTGAGGCGTGTTATTGGAGCGTTTTACAACACTGGAGCGTGCTTAACGGCTTTTTAAAAAGTCCTATAAGAGGCCACTCAGTGGGTGGGGTGGGGGCTGGTGGGGGGTTCTTGGCCAGAAAAGCCGAAAAAAAGAGGAATATGCTATGAAGCTGGAGAGAAGGACTCTTCAGTGACTAAGAATTTTTTTGAGCAGAGCACTCTGTTTGCCCTTCAACAGGGTATTATTATTTTTTTAGAGAAGTTTACAATGTAGGGGAAGCATTTGGAACATTTGGTATTCCATCGATAACAAAAAATATGATCAGCTCTAGCGTTTGGTATCCGCTTTTGGTTTTTGTCTAGATTGATATCCGTTCACTTAGGGGAAATGTGTTCACATACATACATATATACGCGGTTGTTATAATAATAATAATAAAAAAATTTAAAAAGCTTTAAAAAAAGAATTAATTTTAATTATTGAATGAAGTAGGTATTATTATTATTTTTGTAAGACGTTTGTAAGACGCTTCGTACGCGTCAAAACTTTTATACCCGGTACTCAGTCGGTATATAATGATGTACATATGTAAATACATTGTACATACATACATATGTATGTATGATTTTTTCGAGCTTTACATTTAAATTTTTTGGGGGGAAGCCACGGCAAATTAATTTCTTCATTCTGGCTTAATTCGGGGATCTGATAGATGTGGCCATTCTCTACGGAATTCTCTACGGTTTCTACAGACCACAAATGCCTACTACATTTACCCTACTTTCTCTTCGAGTACCGGGTACAAAAAATAAAATACCTTCCCTAATAAAAAAATTCCCTCATTTAGGGTATTGAAACCCTTAGGCACAAAAACCCACCATTCCTTTCGTGTTGTAAACCTGTTGTAGGCCCGAAATTTGTGAAATAAATTATGTTGTCCATTAGTGGTCGTTCTGCTCAATGGCATTTTCCCATATACCATTTCGCATTGTCTAAACAAGAGTGATACTTGTGATGCGAAGGGGAGTTCGGTTGTCGCAGCGAAATCAAATGAATTTCATTTACATAACAAATCCAATTAAATGCAACAAAATTAAATGGTGCGCAATGTTGAATAAATGTTCATACATTTGTAGAAAAATCTGCAGCAATATTACCAGTCCACCCACCCCCTGGATAGTCAATTGAACAAAACACAAAATAGGGTTGGAGGGGGTTGCGCTCCTTAAATATAGAACATAATTACATTGTGAAGCAGATATTTAATGAAATTAAAATGTTGCATTTGTCGTTAGCACAATTGCTGTCGGTGGTAACTGTTTTTGTTCCACAAATGAGTGAATAAATAAATATATACACACATTTTTTTTGGGTATACCACCAGGCCGGTGCGACGGCGACACATTTGTGAATTTAATTTGCTGACTCAAATGCGAAATACGCAACGTGCAACACGAAATGTGAAATGTGCGCCAGCCAAATGGAATAAAATGCACAGAACAGACACAAAATTTGTGGCTTGAGTATGGCAAAAAAAAAAAAAACAAACATTTAAACGCCGCGTCTGAATTTATGAGCCATGCACACAAAATGCATTTAAATGTGACCAGCGCCTGCTGCAAACTACACGGACAGGCTGCTGCTAACTCCCAGAATCAGCCCCCAGTGGCAGCATCAGCATTCGCCAACAAACAAATGACCGCACCAAATGCCAAGCCCAATGCAACATGCAACTGAAGCAAACACCAACGTGTCCCTGAGCCTCGTCCTCGTCCTCGGTCTGGCCCTGGCTCTGCCTCTGCCTCTAGAGTGCCTCTACCTCGCCACGGGTTGGCGCATAATTTCTCATTTCTGCTCGCATAATGAGGCAATTTATTAAATTCAATTATTTTGTTGACATTGCCTGGTGCTGTACGTGCCACCATGAGACATTATCTGCCCAGCATAGTACTACTATATAATGTTTTACAGGTAGACATATTAATGTTCAAAAACATTGCATACGTAAAAGCTGTTTGAAGCTTTTTTTGTGCTGAAAATGTCATATATAAATGATACGTTATATTTCTGTTAAATTTTAAAACAATATTCGGCTCCAAAAATATATTACCATATATCCTAAAAGCCCTATACAGATTCTGTTTCAAGTTCCTACAAATTTAAGGGCTATAAATTCTCCGCCGCACCAGCAAATAAGGTATCCTACCCAAACATCTAATCGGCATTCAAATAAAACAACTAAAATATTGTTGGAATCACCATCTGTAGCAGTTGCTCGACCAACTTTTTTAGTCAACAGATTTAGCAGCATGATAAACTTGCCTCATCGAGGCGTCGCTGCGGACTGTATGTGGTTCTTTGTGGCAAATATGAAGAGTAATTTCCGCTCATTAGATGGCTAGATAGGACCATGGCACGTCGTTATCCGCGTTTGTGACACAAATAACAAAAAAATAAGAGAAAAGTTTGCCAGAGAGCACAAGGAAAATGTAATAATTTGTAGTGTGAAATATTGTAGACCACAAAAATATAAAACCGCAATTAGAAATAGCGTCAAAAAGATTTTGAGGAAGTCCCTATGTCCTGCCAAAACGTTGTATGTTTCGCTAATTAAACGGCTCATCCCCAAGGGGGAGAACAAACTTTTCTGGCAAACATTTTTGGGGGGCTAAAACTTTTTCTGTTGTCGCCAGCTGCTAAAAATATCAATAAAGAAACTAATATGTCAAAAAACTATGAAACAGAGAAGCAGCAGCTGCTGCTAACTCTCTAAGGCAGTGTCCAGTTCAGAGTGCCGCTCTGTGGTGTCCTTGCTGTCCTGCGATTAGCACATCAAGCGTTTATTAATAGCATGACAAAAAAAAACAAGGGCGACGCTTCGTGAGAAACTTTTTCGGTCATTATTGGGGATATAAGAAGCGCAAAAGGTATAAAGACAAAAGTTTACAAAAGTTTCCCCTTTTAATTACAGTTTTTTCTTACGGTTTTTTGCACCACTTTAGGTTTTTTTGCACCCCTTTAGGTTTGTGTGCACACAAAAGTTGAAGGATAATAGGGTAGCTCAGGGGGCATCATACAGAACGTTCATAAAGGGAGATACAATTTGGCAGGTAGCTAACCTTACAGTAGACCTTAACCTTAAAGTTATCGGAAGAACTCTAAGAAATCAAATATATCTGTTTAAAATGTGTTTCAATCAAAGGTATTATAATAAAGAAAAATACATCATTAGAAAGAGAAGTAGACACATAAATAAGTTCTGAACATGGTCCGAATTAAACCCCTACAAATATCTCTTGATGTTTATACTAATACATCCCTCTTACCTGGCACCGATATGGCAGATATTCGTTATTACGCGTACCAATAGACAATATAGATGGCCTGTCAGTTAGTCCCTGACACTCCCCGTGACTGGGCTTCATTGATTAGTGGTTTGGGTTTGAATTGAATTGGGTTAGATGTTTAGACAGAAGGCGTCAATGCCAGACAGACAACGCCAGAACGTAACTAAACGCTCAATGGCTACGTGACTCTCGAGCAATGTCCAGGCTTTGACCTCAGTGGTGAAAAAGTCGCATGCGATAAGTTTTGATTACAGAAAATGTTTGGAATATAAAATGAGGCTTGTGCCAGCAATTGCGACAGTCAATGGATCCATATGTCCTGCGTACTATGTCCTGCGGAGGACAATCCTTAGACGGCTGCCTGCGCTCCTTTGTGATGCTCTGTGATTTGCATAGATTTTTCATTACAGATTTGTGAGGGCCTTAACGCCACAAAAAGGGTTTCCCCCGGCAATTGAAAGATTCGTTTGGCCGTGGCTCTGGGTGCGAAAAAGGAGAGGAAGGGGGTAAAAGAGAAAAGGAGTGACCGTGTGAAAGCAGAGTGAAGGAGTAAAGGGCTGACCGAGTGAAAGGAGAGTGAAACTGATGACAATTTGATGAAGGTTGCCGCATCGATTTTTAAATTATCAAGACTTCCCGACTCTTTCTCCTTGAAAGTCAAATGGGAACTTCTTTGCTCATTGCAGTAAAAAAAAGAAAGAAACAGGAAAAAAGCGGGGAAGCAGCTTCAGCAGGCCAGAACCAGCTCGCAAAGCTAATTGGCCTTAAAGTCAAGTTTGGCAGTGACTTTGAGTGGAACCAAAAACTTGGGTTCCAGCACAGTGTCAGTGCATCGGAGTCAACAATGCGTGAAATTTCTATTTTTTGCAGTTTTCCTCTTGGGGATTTTCTTTTGGGCTATGCTGAATTTTTTCATAGGTTTTGTCAGAATTTAAACTTGCAAAAAATTATAATAATTATAATAATATAAAATCAATAAATTTTCCTTTTTCTTTAAAAAACTAACCTAAAATAAGAGCAAATAGAAGAAGGTCTCCAACACACCCATGATACGGGAATGGTACCAAAGTTAGTCTGTAAATCATGAGGTTTTCGCGCTCAGATTATATATTCTTGTGTGACAAATATAATGAGACTCATCCCAGTTAACCAACCACTTCCTTTTTCCTCTGTGCCGTTCAGTGCCACCGAACATCGACGATGCCCTGACCTCCAGCGACGTCATCGTGCGAGAGGGAGATAACGTGACGCTGCGTTGCAAGGCGAAAGGCAGCCCCGAGCCGACCATCAAATGGAAGCGAGACGATGGCCACAAGATTGTCATAAATAAAACGCTCGAAGGTGAGTGTCAGCCACCACATCCAATAAATTTACATACTCAATTTGTTGCCATCTTTTTGTATCGACCAGTGAACGACCTGGAGACGGACTCGCTTGAACTGGAGCGCATCTCGCGGCTGCATATGGGCGCCTATCTGTGCATTGCCTCAAACGGTGTGCCGCCCAGCGTCTCGAAGCGAATCAAAGTCAGCGTGGACTGTGAGTTGATGCGGTTTTGAGGGTCTTGCCCATTGCTTACATATATTTTTGGGCTTCTGTCAATACAGTTTCCCCCATGGTTTGGATCCCACATCAGCTGGTGGGCATACCCATGGGCTTCAATGTGACGTTGGAGTGCTTCATTGAGGCGAATCCCACATCGCTAAACTACTGGACACGCGAAAATGATCAAATGATCACGGAATCATCAAAGTACAAGTAAGTTGAGAGCAAAAATATATATTTCCGAGGAGGAAAACCCTTTTTATAGGAAAATTACTAGCAATGAGTCATCCATGGGGAGGCAGCAAGTGTTTGTCGACAATTCATAAAAATTTGCAGCTCGGAATTCGCAGGGGTCAACCGTTAATCAGCTTCGGCATGACCTCTCCTGATAATGCTAAACGTAAACATGTAGACAGGGCGAAGCAGCACCAACTGTAAGTCAGTTCTCCGCCAGCGATCATGTGGATTATTTGTCTCGCGCTCATCGCCTGTGTCACTGTAGAAGCGCAGAAGGTGTCCAATCCCAATACTCGCCTGCTGGACAATATTCTCAGCTATGTGGATACCGAAGTGAGTGCCTGCGATGACTACTTTGGTCATGCGTGTGGCAAGTACGCGAAAAAGCACTTGGACGACCCCTTCACGGAGATTACACAAATGGTGGACCACAAGGTGAACCAGGACTTGCTCACGCTAATGCAGGAACTGGAGCAGCGCTCACTGCAACCGAACTTCAATCGGACAGGTGTGGAAGCCAAAGTGTGGAGCTTCTATCACACCTGCCGCAACGCTTCGAGTGACACACGCAGTGGCAGGCACTACCTGACACTCGTGCCACCCGACGAGGGCTTAACCTGGCCGCAGTTCACACCCGAGGGCAGCGTCTGGCCTGGGGAGCGCTTCAAATGGATGGAGACACTGGCACGCCTGCACCGCTATGGCGAGGTGAATATCCTGATGAAGGTATTCATACAATCGAGTCCAAACAACAGCAGCGAATACGTTATGGATCTCTCAATGCCTAGCTTGGAAGAGACGGGACAGCGACTGCGGCCGTTTTTGGAGACCATGCGAACCCTCGCTGTCTTAGGTGTACCCACAGCCAGCGCTATAACGCTGACAAAGAAAATAAAGTCGTTGGAGACGGCACTGCGAAATATCATTGATGAAGACGACGACGACACGAATGGCCAATATATGACAGTGCGGCAACTGCAGCGCCGCACTGGCGTCCACTGGCAAAAGTTCATCGAGTTGCTGCTGGGACAGCCCATCGAGCCACAGTTTCGTGTGAATGTTCAGAGTTTGGGCTACTTCAAGGCACTGGTTCAGCTGCTGAACGACAGGGAGCCCAATGTGGTGGCCAGCTACATGATGACGCGCCTCATGCTTTATCTGTGGGAGGAGACAATGGACAGCGAGGAGCCGCTCGAATGCGTCAAGGATGTGCGCCGCAACATGAATCTAGCCACGAGTCTGCTCTACAAGGAGCGCTTCCTGGGATCCGCCGGGCATCTGCAAAGGAACAGCGCGTCCGTTGTACAAACGTTTGAGCAACTTCGTCGACAGTTTCTGCGTCTCGTGAAGCGAAATCGCCTGCGACTGGATCGCACGCAGCGTAAAATGATCACACAGAAGGTGCACGATATGGTTCTCAACATTGGCAACATGCCACAGCACATTGACCATCGCCGATACGTCAGCCAGCACTATGCGAGTTTGGATATGTCTTCTGGGTATTTGGATTACGCCCGCAGCCATTTGCAGCTCCTGGAGTTCCGCAACCGTCAATGGATGTCACAGCTAAGCCACTCCCCGCACCGGGTCAGCGAGTACTACTACATAACCGACTCGAGCACGGGCATGAGCTCCAGTCCCTACTACATGATACGCCAGAATGTCATCATCGTTCCGTATGGCTTCCTGCAAGAGCCAGTCTTCCTGCCAGACAGCCACAATGTGTTCAAGTTTAGCTTGCTGGGCTTCATCCTGGCCCACGAACTGATGCACGCCTTCGATGGGCATGGAGTGATCTACGATGGTCAGGGGAACCTCAGCGAGGCGGGCCTGCAGATTGGCAATTCTGCGCGCTTCGAGGCAGGGCTGGAGTGCATTAACCGCAACGAGACGGCGTACCTCAATGAGAGAGTGGCGGACATAGATGGCATTCAACTCGCCTACGATGCGTACTTTGGCGCAGAGTCACACCAAAACAGGACACAGCCGGATTTCACAGATATGCCGCTGCAGCGCATATTTTTCCTCAACCTGGCGCAGTTTTTCTGTGGCAATGGTGACGCCTCGAACTTCTTGGACCACGATACGGATGCTGTGCGCCTGAAGCAGACTCTAACAAATTTTGCGGCATTTTATGAGGCATTCCAGTGTCCCACGGCACTATCCACAGAGCGATGTCAGCTCTGGTGAAGGGAAAATAAAAATGAAATTGCACTTTCTTGGGCCTTATTTATTTGTGTTGAAACTAATGCTTAAACGCTGAACTCGGCGCTACCAGACCCTGCAGCGCTGCTTGGCCTGCATTTTGGTGCGCTTCTCGCAGCCAAATTCCCGGGAGAAATCCTCAAAATTTGCCAGCGTTTGCATCACTCTCAGCTCGTCGACGGCGTGCTCCAGGTGAGAATGCGCCTGCAGGCTGAGGGCCGGCATTTTGCCGCAAAAGAACTGCCCAAAACTGATGAAGAAGAGCTGCCGCTGGCTAAACTGCGCCAGCAGCGGATCACGCGGCTCCCGAGGCTTTGGTTTCAGCCCAAAGAAGGTCTCGTAGACGAGACGCAGGGCCTCATAGTCAGCCAGCTTCTCGTTGAGCGACCTGGAGCCAGTGGCCAACTGCTGTTGCATGCAGCGCAGACCCTGGATGAAACGCTGATTGCCTGCAATCTCCTCGCTGGGTCCCATGATGTTGCCCAGGCCATCATAGTCAATGCCCGAGGCATCGTAGCCGTGGATGAGCTCGTGGGCCAGGGCAAAGCCCAAAACGGCATGAGTCTGCAGAGAGCTCGTGTTGCGATGCCACACAGGCAGCTGCAGCAGGCCATAGGGCATTAGCACGAGATTCCGAGGCTTAACATACAGCGGCGAGGAGCTGCTGGCCAGCCAGGACTCCGTGAGGTAGCTGACATTGCCCAGATCTGTGGCTGTGCTCGAGAGCAGCAGCTCGTGATTTCTCTCGACGCGCAGGCGCAGAAGCTTCAGCTGATTCGCATAAAAGTTGTGGCCATTCAGCTCCACCTGCTGGTAATAGTCCTCCACATAGCCGGAGTCGTTCATCTGCACAAAGCCCAGCTGTAGGCGCATGGCGCGCAGCTTCTCCTGCAGAACATGCACAATGGGCGGTGCCAGCTGCAGTCGATTGTCCTCGAGGATGTGGGCAAACCTTTGCTTGAGCTGCTTAAACAGCGAGCCTACATCCTGCTCGGCCTCGGGATCGTACAGCCGCTGCCCGATCATCCAGCTGCTGGCCAGCGGCATGGCACGTCTCATGCTGGCCACGCACTCGCCTCGCGAGATCTCCGCTGGACCCTGCTGCTTGAGGTATGCCAGAAACTTCAACATTATGTAGTTGCAGATGGTATATGGCTGCTGGCGTTCCACCAACTCGTGTAGCGCCCTCATATAGGGAATATTCTGGATGATCAGTGTGGAGCGTACATCGGGTTCGGTGTCCACGCGTATCTCCCGCATGAACGGCAGCCACTTGAGCTCCGGCAGATACTCGGCCAGATAGCCCAGCTGCATTTCCTTGGCACCCTCGTCATCCTCCAGCTCCTGCAGGCGATGCAGCCGCCGCTCAAAGTCATCCACCTCCCGCGCCAACGCATTCGCCACGCGTTTCGTCTGGCCAATGTCCAGGAGTAGCTCGATCATGGCGCCCTCGCCCATGGGCAGCGTCTCCACCAGACTCGGCTTATCCAGGTAAATGGAGTAGACACTCGAGTCGTCCCAGCGCGGCAGCACCTGCTCCTTGAGCAGCACTCCATTCAGGCCATGGAGCCGCAGTCTGCCGATGGTCGTCAGCCAATGGAACTTTTCCCTCCGCCAGCTGCGACTCAGCAGCGGCCAGTGGGTGCCATTCCCTGGGGACAGCAGCTGCAGGTACTTCTTGAGGTTGTACGGCTTCAGCCGCTTGCAGGAGCGATAGTAGAGACGCAGCTTATCGTAGATGGGTGGCTCCTCCTCCGTGGTGCTCTCATTGGAGCGTCGCAGTGCCATCTCCAGCTGTCGATTCAAATTGAGATCGAGCACGCCCAACGTGTCGCTGGGTAGCAGCTGCTCCTGCTCACGTTCTCGCTCCTTTTCCCGCTCTCTGTGCTGCGCGGGCTGCTCCTGCTGCAGCTGCCAGTTGCCACAGGCATACTGATAGAAATTCTCACAGGGACGCACTGTGGTGTCCATGTAGCTCTGCAATTGGGTGGCCAGCAGCTGGCGTATGGTCTGCGGCGAACGCGTCTGGCGGCAGCTGCTGGGCGTGGTGCGCCAGGCCAGTGAGAAGAGTAGCCAAACGATCAGAGTAAGCTTCAGCATGCCGGACAAATTGCAACTGGACTGGAGATTCTACACCACCCAGAGAGAATGTCAAGATTGTGCTCGGTATCCACTGACTGGGCCTGTCAGTCTTCATCGTAACAATGGTACAGTGGGTCGAAACTAATGTTCTACGAGCCATTAAATACGGACAGAATTTTGTGGCAGATTCTGGCAGCATTTGTAGCCACTGTGCCGAGTGTGCCGGGTCGCATTCTGATTAGATTTAAGTGAAACAGACCCCGGGAACTTATCAGTTTCACCTTGGCCTTGATTCCTGATTGCCTCTCATTTGTGTTTGGGGTCTCTCTGAGGCTCTGAGTCCGGAGGCTGACCTACAATATGTACATACATAGGTGCTGCAAATCGTCAACGCGCATTTTGCTGTCATTGAACTTGCCCAAAACACGACACTTAAGCTTAACCACTTTCACGGCGCTTTATTTTGTTTTTGACTTTTGCAGAACCGAAACAATTCCGGGCCATCCATCGTACAAGGCGACCATGCGTCTGACGATCACCAATGTCCAGGGCAGCGATTATGGCAACTACAAGTGTGTCGCCAAAAATCCTCGTGGCGACATGGATGGCAACATAAAGCTTTACAGTAAGTGGGAACATCGGTGAGAGGAGACTACCCTCTACCCCTCCGTAATATGTGTTATTTATACTTCCTAATATTGGTGCCACACCATTCCAAAGCGGAACATAAATTACAAGGGACATGGGTTTGGATTGCTTGTTTGGGGAAATTCAAAACTGCACCATTTTGTGGTTTTAATTATGGCGGCAGTTTGTTGCCCACTGGTCAGAGGCAGACCATCATTTATGTGTCTCTCTATGGATACATTTCAGTCCTGGAAGGCTAGGTATAGGGGGACAATACTCCCCATTCAGGGATAATACAAGAAGAGAATTTCGACAGAAATCGAATAAGTGGACGGTGCAACATTACTATGTTCAGATTTAACAAAATCGACAAAATCTAACTTTTTTTCTATCAGCTTCGAACCACCTAGCATCGATACTTAGACTGAAAAGCTGATAGACAGAGAACTTTAAATTTGTTTAAAAAATTATTGTTTTTTTTCTAAGGAAGAACTTTTTTGAAAGAATATTTAAAATCTGGTACTTTTGTAACGGTTTTTTTAGAGGTATCACTTCTTTATTTCACATAACCTAAGTATCTTCCATCTGGTTGTAATTAGGTTTGCGATTCTATAAAGCTTATTAATGCATCTATAAGTTATACCCAAACACTTTGAGGTTTTAGCTAAACGTTTGACGGGAAGTGATGAAGATGTAGAAGACAGATAAAACGAGAAGGAACGTGTGAGACGCTTCTTACGCGTCACAAATTTTATACCCGGTACTCAGTAGAACATCAGGACCTTAGCGGTTTTTTATCAAATTTTACATTTGTTCTTCATCTGTCATCTAAATCTACATTCCTTCTCACGCCAACACGCTCCATTAGCTCGCCCCCCTCCCCTATAGCCGCACACCACACGAAGCAGAGTTTGAATGTGAGAATGTGCAAAAAATAAAAAAAAAACTGATGGACGGGGTGGGCGCAGCCACTGCAACTTTATTTCTTTATTTTGGCCATAATAATGAAACAACCTAATCCCAATTCGGTGATCTGATAGATATAATCCTTCCGTACGTAATGGCTTTTTTAGTTATTTGATATTTAAAATTGTGGCTGTGGGAGATTTTCGCCCTTTGGACTTTGGCTGGATGCAAAACTTGGTGGCTCTAGCTGTTATAGTCTTTGAGATCCAGGCGCTCAACAAGACGGACAGACAGACATGGCTCTATCGACTCGGCTATCGATGCTGGTCAAGAATATATATACTCTATGGGGTCAGAAAGGTTTCCTTCCCTGCGTTACATATGTATGTACATCCCTTATTACCGACAAATACAATATACCCTACTTACTCTTCGAGTACCGGGTATAACAAATTAAGAATTTGAAGCCGCTAAGGTACAGATGTAATACTGAACTGGGTATAAAAGTAAGAAGCATCTTACACGTACCTTCACGTTTTTTTTTTACTTTTCCACAAAAATCAAAATGTTTTCATTTAAAAGCTTAATAAAACGGTAAGCAAAAACCTCAAAGTGTTTGGGTATACATTATAGATGCATTCATCAGTTTTATAGAATGGCTTAGTTCATAACAACCAGATGTAAGATACTAAGGTTATGTGAAAAAATGATCTACTACTACAAAAAACGTTAGAAAAAAATACTTGATTACACAAATTCTTTACAAAAAAAGTTCTGCCCTAGAAAAAAACAAAAATTATCATCAAATCAAAGTTGGTTTCGTTCGAATCGGAAAAATCCTGTCGTTTGAAGGGTACAAAAAATGGCAGCAGAAGAATTGAATATCAGGTGGTACTAGTAATCGGAGAAACATTTAATAAATAATTCAGTTGATTTTTGGGGGAACTAGTTGGTCATTAGACGTATGTTTGATTTAAATAATACTAATGCCATCGTATGATATATTTGTTTTAACTCTGATTCTGATTTAAAAAACATAAGTAAAACAAGTTGATATTTATATAAGCATACGAAGGAATTTTTGAAAATAAAGTTATTATGATTGCAGAGTTTTAAGAGGTTTCTCAATGCATAAACTGAATTTATAAATTCGAATTGTTGATTTTTAGTGATGTTAAAATCACAAAGTGCAGCCTAATTAACACGAAACGATCCTATATTATAACACCCCCATTATCTGCATATAAAAATAAATATTTCTGCACCTCTTCTGGACATAAAAACCTTAACTTTTAATACGAAAAGCAAAAATAGTTTAGAAGTTAATTGTTTGAGTATTTAAACTCCTTTCTTTACATGATTCTAATGTACTAAAACGTTTTTAGTATGAACCCCTAAAATAGCTCCATTTAAAACCCTGCCTTTCTACTCCACCAATATCTGTGTATAATGATTTATACTCCCACCACTTAATGGGAATTAACTTTACACTCCCATTACATTTGCTTTATCAATTGATTGCCTCACAGTTCGTTAGCACAGAGAGTAAATGTAATGGTCGAAAGCAGAAAACGGAATCCATTTGGCAATTAAAGATCTTTGGGCCAATAAGTGTCAATAATCTGTCAATTTGCCAAATCACTCCCCAATTGCGACCCTTACGAAGTTTTATTTTTTTTCCGATTTTTGTTGCGGCCATTAAAGTCGCAACTTCAATGCTGTACAAAAAAGTTCATAAAACAATATAAAATATCGATGCGTTGGCATCCATAAAAAAGGACAGCTTAATTTATATATACAATACGGAACACATTTACGGACACATATATGTATATTTATGCTACAGATACTTTATGTCACAACAAAGGACTGGTGACTGGTGGGGGGCACGAGGAGAGTGCGGAAGTGGGTGTCGTTCTACCAATTAAAGGTAACAATGGGCCCGCACAAACCGAAAGGCGAGTGGCAGGCAGACATACTGCTGATAATAATGGGGGCGTGGGCGTTGGCGGGGACGGTAAAGTGCCAACAATGAGAACAATGAACCTGTGACAATTTTATTAAGTGGTTGGTCAGAAGAAGCAGAAGAAGATCTCCCTGTGTCAGGAGTAGTTTTTGGTGCCGGTGCCTGTGCCGGTGCCAGTGCCAAGGCGGAGGCCAACTGCAGGGCACCATAAATTTTCCCAAACAAATTGTCGTCAATAATGCCAAAGGAGGAGCGCACCAGACCAGACAGCAGCCAACCGAAAAAAAAGAAAAGAAAAAGAAAAAGAAAAGAATAAGAAGCTCCCCTTCTCTCACTCTCCCTCTCTCTCTATCGCTCTCTGTGGAAAGCCAAGAAATTGAAAATGAAAGCAGAGCGAGCGAGCGAGCGAAAACCTGAATTCACGATGCCTGAAAATTCCTTTCAGGAATACGAGAAAAGCGCAGTTAAGATATTGACTCTGAGCAGGGTTATGGAGGGGTTCCTGTGTCTTGCCATTAAAAGAAGTTGGAAGCGTTGTTTATGATTGCATCCGACTGAAGCACAGCACTGAGATGAAGACCTCTTTTGTATTGTCTACTCATTGATTACAATCGATAGAGAGAGAGAGAGAGGGTAGAGTGTTGGGGATTCATTTCCAAAAATACATTTCGTATTCAAATCGATTCGATTGTACGTTTCCCATTGCAGTGTCGAGTCCACCCACCACACAGCCACCGCCCACAACCACAACACTGCGGCGCACGACAACCACAACAATGGCAAACACTTTGGATGGCCCCAACGCCCCGCTGAATGGCCTAGGCGGTGGAGGGCCAACGAATTCGGTGATTGTGATTGACAAATGTGAGTACTACGAATGCACTCAGTGCTTAACCAGCAATTGACTTTCTTTCTCTGTGTGTTTTTGCCATTTACCTTTTCCGTTTGCTGTTTTTAGTGGGCATCAAATATCAATCGAATCTGAATGAGATTGACAAATCCGAACAGAAACTGACAGGCAACAATCCCAAGGGCTATGATTGGTCCAAGGGCAAGGGCAGCGCCAGTCGTCTCCATCGTTCCCTAATGATTTGCTGGCTCCCGACAACCCTCTCACTGCTGCTGGCAACGCACTCGCATCGTTAGAGCTGCATTGCAATGGAAAATATATCCTTATATTATATATATATATTTATAAAGTGCCATTAAAAAACAAAAAACATACCAACACAGAAATGCAAGGAATAACAAAACAGACACAGAAACACAAACACAAACATACACTTGAAAAAACACGCACGTAAAAAACATTATCCAAACACAACAAAATATGAACTTAATTAAGCAAATTGCCATACGCAAAAAGCTAAATTGCCATTTCAAGTTTTTGGTTAGCTTTGTTTGCCTTTTCACCACAAAACTCCATAAATATTTGATTCGATTTTTGGTACATACAAAAAAGATGAACTCCAAGCCTAGCATTAAAACACCAGCAGCAGCATGAAAAGCACAAGTTTGTGGACAAACAAAAGGCAGTCAATTAATCAACAAAGAGCTGATTTTCAACACTCCGACTAGGGGTTTACACTCTACATGTAAACTATGTTTGATAGAATAAATGAGGATATACCTCAATATAATTTAAATAGCAACAAAATGTTATCAATCAGTTTATAATTAAATCTTTAAAATATCGTCTTTTATTTGAGTATAATTCAAAATTTGAGCAACTTTAAACATTTCTAAAGCAGTTTTGAGCTGAACAAGAACCTCAAGAAGACCTTCATTAAATATACCTAAAATCTTTAAAAATGTCCAACAGTCAAACGACTATAAAATCAGTTGAAATAGGACTTCGAAATGATAGCATTTTAATAGGATATATATACATATATATATTATATAAATATATATATATATATATATATATATATATATATATGGGAATATAGTATTTGTGCACAAAGTATGTAACACACAGAAGGAAACGTTTCCGACCCCATAAAGTATATATATTCTTGATCAGCATCAATAGTCGAGTCGATAGAGCCATGTCTGTCTGTCCGTCTGTCCGTCCTGATGAGCGCCTAGTCCTCAGAGACTATAAGAGCTAGAGCCACCAAATTTAGCATCCAGATTTCTGTATGCTCACACTGTTACAAGTATATAGCGAAAACCTCCCAAAAAACGCCATTCCGTAGGAAATGACCATATCTATCGGATCACCAAATTGGGATTCGATTGGATCATTATTATAGCCACACTGAAGAAATTAACTTCCAGCTTTTGTTGTTTTTTTCACATTCTCTCATTTACACTCTGCTTCGGCCTCTGCCGCGAGTCTGCAGTGTGTGGGTCTACGGAAGGGGGGCGAGCTAAAGGAGCGTGTTGGTGTGAGAAGTGTTGTAGATGTAGATAGCAGATGAAGAAACAATTTAAAATTTGACAAAACACCGCTAAGGTGCAGATGTAGTACTGAGTGCCGGGTATAAAAGTTGTGACGCGTAAGAAGCGTCGCACACGTCCTTTCTCGTTATTTTTTATAATTGTGGTGGTTCTACAAAGAACCAAGTAAGATCTAGTCAACTACGCACATATGTATGAATTTTCAGTTTTTAAAGTGTAAATTAAAAATTATTCAACCTAGTCGGAGTTTATAGTACAACGTTCCAAAAATACATCAAATCTTTAATCAGATTTAACAGTTTACGTAACATTAAAGAAGGATTCATTTTAGCTTCGTTGCCAGTTAAATGTTCTTTATTTTCTAAAGCAATTTTCCTTAAAACTGAACATGGTTTTAGTGAGGGTATTTGCACATAATAACTGAATTATACCTACAATGTTTGAGGACAGATGCTTTTAAAAAAAAGGAAAACAACAAAATCAAAACACACACGCACACACCCACACAAACCGAAGCAAGTTAGTTAGTTGAAACATACATTAATTTAAATAAACAATTCTGAATAAAAATATACATTTCAAATGTTGCCAAATTGTTGAAAAGAACGAAGAAAGAAAACCCCAAAAAAGATAAACGAAAGCACACACGGTACCCACACTTGTACATAGAAAAATACACAAACCGAATAAAAAACAAAAAAAAAACCAATGCAAATGCAATTGTAAATTATGTACTCGTTATAAGCTAAACAAATGATTGCTCATTTGTAATGAAATATGGACATTAAGCAATTTATAATAAAAAAGGATACTCATGGCCAGAAAATAAAGAGAGACAGAATGAGGAAAAAAGAAAGCGCTATGTCGGCACTAATCAAAAACCAATTAAAGAATACATATAAAATCTGCATAGAAAAAATGAGAAGTAAAGAATAGAAAAGATACCCCCCAGACGGAGAGAGAGAGTTGAGAGTTGGTTGGCCAAATTCGTATTGATTGAAGCATATTTATATATCCATTTAAGCCCGGAATTAAAGCCCAGATGCCAACCATAAGTAAAACTATGTTCTAAGTTATACATATACATAAAAACGTACATACACATGAATATACATTTAAATACCATATATCATAGGCTTTAGTTGTGTTTCTTAGCGTTAAGAGTGATAATGTACATTTAATGATATTAGGGTTCCCTCAAAATCCTCCATCCTCCTTCCCTCCCCTGCCGCTAGGAACAGACGGAGCGGGGAGAAAAAATGCAAGTGAAAGAGAGAGAGGAAGATAGAGAAAGAGAGAGAGAGAGAGAGAGAGAGAGAGAAAGAACACAAATAAAATATCTATTTGGGATTGCTTCATATGAACGTGGTTTCTTCTTTTTTTGTCAACTGGGTATATTATTTGTCCCTAGATTCGAACGGCAAACAACCAGAAAAAGCATTGACCAGAAGAACATCGCATAAATGCTAAGCTTCGTTTTATTCCGGATTTATATTTGATTCCATGTTTGCGTAGCACTTTGAGCACGTGAAATTGTTATTGAACCGGAGGCGGTTCTCGTTTCTCGGCTCTCGGTGCCTTTTCCATTTATCTGCACTACTGCAATGAGCGGCAACTGCACAAACATTGTTGCCATGGCAGAAATCCTCTTCTGCTGCTTACGTGATGCCTCGCCTGCTCCTGCCTGTCTGCCAGCCTTTTCCTCATGTCCTGCGTGGCGTATGTGCAATGCAAACAAATAGTCAGGATTGGACATCTCTTGAGGCAAGAGGCTGATGCTGCAGTTTAAAAATTTTAAGCTGCCACAAATGCTGCTTTGATTTTAAAGGTAATCCAAGGACTCCCAAAAGACGAATGCTTGTTGATGAGTGATTTCTGTGCGTAGAGTCGTCAGTGCACTAACCGAATCTTCAAAGTTCTGGTGCATCGGTTATACTCTTATGGAAATTATTCACATTTCTGAAAATTTGTAAGTGGCTATTTTAAGAAAAATTATGGCAAGGCATCCCATCCCATGTCCACATAAGGGAATAGTGACTTGGACGTACAATATGTATCTAAAAATAGTAAATAAAATAGACATAAAGTCTACACCTATCTATTCTTCCTTTAATTTAAAATATTATTCGATTGCTGCTATCTTTTAACTAGCCAAACATTGTATACAGCCTGATACTAATTTACATATAAACAAACATACATATGTACATGAATTTTACAGAATTACTGCGCGAAAAAATATTGCATGCTTTTTGGAGGCATAATAATAATCCCAAAAATGTATCGCATGCGACTTTTGTCTTAGTTTTTGTCTCCATGAATATGGTTGAGTCTTTGCGGGAAGAATTATATATAATTAAGCTTAATCGTCAATTGATTGCCTATTAGCATAGAACAGAACAGATCGAAGGCTTACAAGTAATTTCCTTGGAGCAGAGCTAAGAATTGACAATGGAAATGGCAAGCAATGATTCATAAAATCATTCAAAGTCAACACATTTTGAATTAGCTTTTTTTTTTCATTTTATTTATTATTATTAAAAATATAATATTTTTAACATTAAATGTTGTTTGCTTATAAAACTAATTTGCTAAGATGCTTATGCTAAAGACATATTACAATTGTAAATGGAATTTTATCCAATATTTGATCAAACCTCCACAGAACGACGATCGAGCAGAGTGTCCAATATTTTGTCCATGTGCTCGCTGCAGTTTGCCAGGCAAACATCCGCGTATTCGCTGAGGAAATACATGAAGCTCTCCAGCTGTTCCATGGAGCAGGTGCGGAATCCATTGTCCCGGCCAATATTGTCGATGGCTCGGATAATGGAGCGCAGCTTCTTCACATATTCCGGGGTATTGCGGCAATGCTCCAGCGAGTCATCCGACAGATTCGACGGCTTTGAATAGCAGCGTATCCTTTCCTCCACATTCTTTAGCTTTGTTTGCTGTTGCTTCAGGACCTGCATCATCTGGGGCATGGACATGGCTGGTGAGCGGACCACAGGAGCCGCCTTGGCAAACAGCTCATCCAATGGCACTGCCTCGTAGTCGAGGGAGAACATATCCGGTGAGAAGGAGAGCCTGCCGCTGCCACTGTTGTTGCTGAAACTATCCGACTCAAACTCCGTTTGGTCCAGGTCGCTCGTTTTGATGGTGTTGTTAGCGTTGCTGCCAATATTCGGCCAGGAGTACTTGTTGCGTCCCTCCAGGCCATTGCTGGCGCCCGTCTGCAGTCCCACGAGCATGCTGTAGCTGCTCTCGATGGAGTACTTCTGGGTGGTGGGCCAGAACTCGGGCACGCAGCTGAACTCCAGATGATCCACGCCAAAGCGCAACTCTGCCTGTTCGTTCAGCTCCGCATCCAAGAACTGAAACAGCCGCTCCACCTTCTCGCCGGACAATAGTTTGCCGCTGAAGGGAACGGCCAAATCACCGCTGGCGAACCAGTAGTGGGAGCATCCCTTCACGCTGGGCGGCGGCTCGGGCAGCGATTGCTTGGCCTCCAGGCTGCCGCCTCGCGAAAACTTGTGCGCATCGATGCCAAAGGCCATGTCCCGCGTTTCCCAGCTCTTCTGCGTGAATATCTCGTACAGCAGACCCAAACGTTCGGGCGTATTGTGGAAGATCTCCAGGGAGACGGTAAAGTCTCCAGCGGATATCCAGAACATTGACTTTGGCTTGGGTGCCGGCAGGTCGTCCTGTGATGAATTCATCTCCATTGTCGGTGCATTCGCAAAGAACTCCCGCTCACTGCAGGGCGTCCGCGGAGAGCTGGGCGTATCACCTAGATCCAAAGGATGATCCTCTCGAATCACCTGCATGGCCAAGGAGCTGCGTCTCGGTCTGTTATCCTGTGCTGGAGTCAAGATCGGACTGAAAAGCTGCTGCTGGACGGGGCTCACCGCCTGGCGACCCTTGACGGGTGTCGAAAATCCCGATGGCTTGCCACCCGTCGTTCCCACGGAGGAACGTCTCAAGGGACTGCCACTATCCGTGGCATCATTCGAGCATGTCTCAAAGCCCTGATCGATGAAGCTATCCCTCATGGTCTGATCCAGCGACTGCCTTGGCGTCTGTGCCGGCGACTGATCGCTGTCAGCATTCGGCGAAGGCGACGACATCACAGTCAGTGTGTAGGCGGACTTGATCTTTCGAGGAGAGTTCACCTGCCGCATCAGCGATTTATCCAGCTCAATGTAGCTCTGTTCGGGCATTTGCATATTCGTTGGAATCTTCTTTTTGGTGGGTGCTGCCAAAGTTGGCTTGTAATCCGAGTCCGAGTCGGTGGAAGTAATGGCATTGGCAGTGGCCTCCACAATGGAATTTTCCTTTTTCCAGGTGAGTGTGCGACGCATTTTCTTCTTGCGTGGCGGACGCTGCGGCTTGGCAAAGTCAAAGTCGTTCGCTTGCATATTTCCCTGCTGCATTTCGGGCTGAGATTCATCGCTGGTAATCTTTTAGGGGAAACAAAATATGTTAAAGGATGCTCGAAGAGAGTGATGTGCTTGTAAGGACATACCTTTGGTAGTGTAGACAACCCGGATTCACTTTCCTCAGCCTCCGATTGCTTGCGACTAGACGAACTGCTCGACATGGCGCACGTGGACTGCGTTTGACTCAAACTTGGACGTGGCGCTGGCACTGGCGGTGCCTGACGCTTTACCTTCCGCGGCGTCACTGTCGGCGTGTCCTTTGTGTCCTGTTCTTTTTCCTCCGACTGGCTGGACTCTTTCACCTTATTCTCCAGCTCCAGCTTGGCTATGGCCTCCTCTAGCAGCCGCTCCACTGCCGATCGCTGGCTTACCTCGCCCATCGATGTGGCCGTCTGCTCTTGCGTCGCCTGCCCCGAGGCGCTATCTGTCTCTTCGAGAGCAATCTCTATGGTCTGCTCGCTGTTGGACACGCAGGTAATGTCGAATTGTACACCATTCTCGGCACTTAGCCAACTGTAGAACAGACTCTCCAGCGGCTCGTTCTGAAAAAACATCTGATGGTCGCCGCCGCTTCGCTCTTGACGCGTTCGACGGATTTTCTTGGGCGGAGCAAAGGCCTCGATGGGCAGAACACTGCGTATGGAGGCCAGATTCCGTTTCTGAGAGCCCTCCCGCCCATGACTCTCGCTCTGACGTTCCAGGCAACGTCTTGGCCGGGGCTGCGGTGCCCGCCGCTCGGGGCTGGGCTTTAGTATCACCGTCAGTGTGCTCACATGGAAATTGGAGGTGCAGGTTTCTGGTTTATCCTCCTCCACAGCTCGACTTTCCTTTGGCGGACTCGATGTGGTGGATAGTCCTGCAGGGCGCGGCGGCGTGCCTGGCTCGAGCATGCATTTTGCTTCGAGTTCTTTGGCCAACAGCTTGACACTCGCCTGCTGTTCGGCCACCACCTCGCCGCGGGCCATCTGTTTCTTCACCTTTGCCTTAAGATCCGCAGCATGGGCCGTGAATTTCGGATGCTTTGCTGCCATATCCCCAACGAATTGGTTGAACAGCAACGCTTTATCCCGCACACTCAGCTCACGGAACACCTCCTCGGCCACCAGGCACGGGCCCTGTCTCGACTCCAATCTCGACTGCGGCTGCGGTTTGGCCTCGGGCGAGAATTCGTTGTGCAGTTGGACATATTGTGGCTCTTCGCCTCTTCGCATCACTTGGCTAATCTTCGAGTTGAAAAGTTGTGCCATTTCCTTGACTTTCATGGGCAATTTCCCCGCTGACTTGCTGCCTCCAGTTCCTCCTCTGCCGGATGTTTGCGGCGTCTCAGGCTGTTGCTGCTGTTCGTATTTTTGCTTCAGTTCGCTAATCTTTATCTTGCCAGCATCCACCTTGGGCTTGGGCGGACTGACAACCATCTCTGGCTGCTGATTCGCCAGCTTGGCAATGGCACTGGCCACCTTACCGCTGCCAGCCACCAGTTTGGCTGCCTGGGCGGACTTGGTGGGTGTGACGGGCACCTCCTCGTCAAAGTACCTCATCAAATTCTCAATGCTAGACAGATCCAGGTCCGTTACCTGCACCCTCTCCTTGGATGGCGTGGCATACGAGTTCTGATGCTCCAAGGCGCTGAGGAAGCGATCATCATCCAGCGAGGAGATCTCAAAGAGCTCCTCTCGTGTCATGGTGGCTTGAAGCAGGCCGCAGGCATCACTACTGTGACGACTGGATCGTCTTCTCTCTTCAATCTCTGCATTCAATTGCAGCAGTTCGCTCAGATCCTCGCTATTCATGGCCGCCGTGTCAATCATGAGCTCTTGGTGTGTCTTCTGGTTGGGTGTGGAATTGCTTAGAACCATTTTGGTATTTCGTTGTTCACGTTAGACGTTCCAGTTTGTAACTGTGCTGGCTCTGAGATTTTACTGCGCTTCTTATAGTAATGGCAGGTAGCTTTAGGCTCGGTGCGGTTTAGGTACATGCAAAATACCTATATGACATTCCGCTAATCTGCACTGATCAAATCAGGTAAACTCCTGTAGCAGCTGCGTGTAGAATGGGTTTTTACTTTTAATTGGTTTCGCGAACCTTCCAGGAAATTGTTGCGCCTTCAAGGGACCTGCGAATATACTCAACAGGTAATCATTTCAATCATTTTTATGATCACTAACACTCTACAAGAATATGGTACGTACAACAGAGGTAATTTTGACTTGGAAATTTCTAGATTTCTAAAATAGAGTGAAAAATAATAAAGAGATCTAAAAGAACATTGAAAAGGCTACGCTAGAGCAAGAATTTCTAAAGAAAACACAACACCAAAGTTAAACCAAAAGTGCCACACAGAAATGTGAAAATGTATTCTTAAATTTTCAACAGCAATTAAAACCTCATAAACGAAAATTCCCCACCCCACTTTGGAAAATTCTTTGCCCAGCAAATACGAGTACTAACAAGACCCCAGCGGAATGCAGCAGTTCCACAATAAAAATCACACACACACATGTACATATAAGTAAGTATGTGTGGTACATTTTGTACAACTTGTCGTTTGGATGGAATGGAGCTCGGGAATGTGGAAACTTTTGTATGCCATTTGCCACCTTATGCAAATCACAGCCAAAAAGCAATGAAAATCCAAATGGAAAGCCAAGATTTGTAGGTGTTTTGGAGCCACCTCAGGTGCCAAATTTTGGTTTCCCAATGATGATGATGTGTCCTGCATGAGTGAATGGAAATCTGTGTCTTTATTGTCGGTGACATGCCCTTTAAACAGACAGATTTCAATTTGCTAATAGCCACGTGGCATATTTCCCTGCAAGACGAGGCACCACTCTCTTTTCTTATTCTTTACGATTTGGTCTAGACAACAAATTGGAAAAGTAAAAGGTTTTCCACCATTTTGGCTCTCTCTCTATTTTTCCTTTGTCTGTTTGTATTCTCTCCCAGAACTGTGCTTTCAATAACTTTAATATCGTTTGTACGCCGGAAATTGAATTGAATTACTCCGCGAGTAACTCGAGAGCGGAATACGGATGGAAAAACATCTTCGCTGCGCGAGAGTTTTTCTTGGTCTCCGCTCTGTTTGGCGCTCTGTGAAAAGTGAGAGGGGTCTCCAGCACAGCAATGGCAGTGGAAGTGGAAGTGAACCACAGATATTTTTAATGCTCGCCTTCACTCAGCGAAAATGCAGCAGAAAATGTACTTGGCCAAAAGTGGGCAAACGGAGAAATGGGGATAGTTCAGACTATGCGTAAGAGTAGATTTTCCCAAGAAAAAATATCAACAATGGTTCAAAAACAAACGATGAAGAAATAATGAAGACTGCAAAAGAGTTTAGGTTAGGTTAGGACACACTTAAGAGTTTAACAAAGGAACTGATCCAAATGTTGTGATGTATAAATTCGGCAAATGTTAGATACTTAAATGACTTTGAAATAAATTTCAGTCTGAATATTTAGAAGGTATCAACTAGAGCTGGAGATGAGTCTTTTGAAAGGAGCTAAAGAAGATCTTTAAGCTAAAATTATGAATTATGTACTTAATTATATTTCTTTTCTTCAACTCTGCTGATTACGTCCAACAAATTGTACTATTTTCCGATAATATTTTGATTATATTTTCAACCATAGTTGTGCATTTTTCTACTTTTATAAGACCGTCGACATGCCAGAACCTAGAGATTCATCTATAAGCTAAGGAAGAGATGAAGGTCCCCGACTCTGTTTCAGTATATCTACTGACAGTCTTTTTCTATCTTTCAGATATCTATATACATATGTAAATACAGTCTTCCCTTAGGGAAGCCTCTTGTCACACTTACACTGCCTTGTACAAGTATATTCCTTCTGGAAGTCCTGTGAGGCGTAATTGAAATATGAAATTGGTGATTCAACAAGGCGTCCATTGACGTCCTCGTACGCGTCCTCGGCAGTGGTTCTGGGTCCTTGGCGCGCAGTGAGGCGAGCAAAGATGCCTCTGCCTGCCTGCCGCCTGCCTGTCCAACAAAAGAGGAGCTGCTGCGGAAGTGTTGGGTTCCCATTGAACCGTTAACGACTCGGCATTCTTCACGGCCTTTCTCTCTCTTCTCTTTTGGCCAGGGCCAGGACCAGGACCCATCCTGGGGATGCAGAGATTAATTTTCGCTCGCTTGTTAATAAATTAATAAATTAAATTGCATATTTTCGCTTTGGCGGTATGCCTTTTTCATAGGTTTACTCGTACATGAACGACACGATGATATCGTAAGAGTTATGTGCCGAAAAAAGTGCAAAATTTTAATATAAATAATTTTCGCTTGATTTTCTCTTTGATATAAACCAACATTCTACACACGATTTCCGCTCTCTCTTTCTCTTCTATCGCCACTCACTCTCTGTATCACGTGTGTGCCTTGAAAACTATTTTCAATAATTTTGCATAAATGCACTTGACTTTCTCTTCACGGAAAATAAAAAATGTTTCACCTATTTAAAGTGTCACACCACACGTTGATGAATTAAATTGATGATTGATTTATAAATATATTTTGTGGAATTTTTACTGAGTCGCTAATGAATTTATAGGTGAGTGTCCTCCGAACACTCTTTATTTTGTTTGTTTTTCTGGTTGCTAAACTCCAATTAATTAAAATGGAATCAATTAAAATCAAATGACGGATTGCAGCTTAATGATTAGGAACCATTGAAGTATAAACCATAAATAAATTATGCCACGCAAAATGATGAAATATGATTGTTTTAATAGTTTTTGGGAATGGGCTTGAAAAGAAAGCAAAGAAATTTGTTTGAATCACATACACATAGGTGAGTATTAGAGTATTAGAAACCTATTTAACAAAAAAAACCTCCTTTAAATGCATCTTAAAGCCTAAATGCTGACATTTTATTTATTTTATATAGATATAATTTGTTTTATTTAATTTATCGAGTCCAATAAAAATAACTAAAGAAATTTCTAAGAAAAAACACATTTTAATAGAATCCAATGACTCCGAAAATAACAAAACAAATTAAAAAGATCTCTGGAAAATATTTTAGTATTTCCTGAAAAAATCGCAATGTGAATGGACAAGCCTCCTCCAAATAACCAATAACCATCGAACCGGGAGCACTATCTTTATGTTTGAATGTCCAGTAGATGTATTCGTTCCCGCACTCGTGACCCCTTGACGGGATCACCTCTCGTGCTTAAGGTTAATCGTTAATCGTTAGCCGCAATCATGAATTGCAGCTCAAATTGCGTCATACGTTATTTCAAACAGATAATCAGGTTTCGATTGCCGAGCAACGATCACAATTAATAACTAAAACACTATGTGTAACAATTAACACAGCAAGAACAGAGAATGTGAGTGTCATTAATTGTACACTGGAAGAAAATACAAAACAAAAAAATTTACAAAACAAATAAAATATTAAATAAAATTGAAATAATTTAAATCAAACAAATTAAATAAAAGACAAACTATAAATATGGATAATTGATTGGAATAGAGTCTCTTAGGATTGGTAATTCCATAATATTGTGCTCTTTCTGGGGCTATATGTAAGTGGTATTTTTTGCATAAATTTCTAAGAACTGATACATTATTGAATTCTCAGATAAATCCCTTCAGAAAGCATCTTTCCTTTCCTGTTTCCATAAAACTTTACTATTCTAAATATTCTTCTTGTCTCGTCTTCTTCTCTCTTAACTTTATGCGTTCAGTGCATTTGAATTGATAAGAATTCCAAAAGAAAAGACGTATTTAAAACGCTTCAAGCGTTATCAGCTAACCAAGCGAAAAAAGAGCCGAGCTGCAAGAATCACACACACACACTGGCATCCACAATCGACCGGACAGTGGATCGAGAAATACTTAAGAGTGATTTAACGAGTAGTATATGGGTTTTATTTTTCGTTTAGAGCCGAGACCACAAGCCGACACGAACAGCACAATGGGAGAATGGTAATGGAAATGCGAGAATTAACATACAAAATGGAACCGCGTGAATCGAGTTTTTAGTTGATTTTTAGCAAGCGGCAAACGCGCAACAAATCGTTCCGAAAACCCATACAAAATTCAAAAATAAAAATTGAGAAACGATCGCGTTAAATTGTGAAATACATTTTTGCTAATACATTTTTGACATGATTGCTATTAAAAATCCACAAAGTGAACCAATCAAAAGGCCTACAGCTATTGCCAGTTGGAACAAATAACCCAAAGAAAAGTGAAAAGAGAGAAATCAAAGTGAAAACCAAATAAAAAAGAAATTTCAAATCAAACTTTTGGAAGCTCTAGAAATGGAGCGAGGTCTGTGGCTGCTGCTGCTGCTGTCGATTTCCATCGAGGCAATGCCCCCTACACATCATCTCAATCAGAGCTGCCCATACCAAAACCAATGCAATCCTGCGATCAATTGGCAGCATATCCGTAGACTGGAGAGCTATGTGCGTAGAGATGTGGATCCCTGTGTAGATTTCTATGCCTATGCCTGTGGCAATTGGCGGCGCATCCATGGCGAGGGTGGCACAGCCACAACGATAAGTGAGGCACAGATAAATCAGCGCTTTGAGGACTTATTCCTGCGGCTGCTGCAAGATCCACGTGCACCGGAACATGGCTATCCCATGCAACAGAAACTGCTAAGCCACTACCAGAGCTGCACGGCGCTGACAAGCCCCAATCTTAGGCAATATCTGCAGCACTTGCCACCACTGCCCTCGCTGGATACCTCCCACTGGATGCAGCTGGTCTCTATCCTGGGAAGGTATGGTTATCACGATCATTATGTGCAAATCGAAGTGAGGCATCACAACATCAGCCAGCACATGATCTTCATACAGCCGCACAACCACATTCTGAGTCTGAATCTCACGCGGGAGATTTATGAGGCACTACCACAGCGGCATCTGTGCTTCCATCAGCTTAAAGATATGTTTAATCGACTGGAGGTACACCTCAACCGGCTGGCCAAGCCCAACATTGCGGATGATAGTTTTCACAACCTGACGCTGGAGGAGATTCGTAGGAGAGTGCCGGAGTTGGACTGGTTGGGAGCCCTGAAGCGGCAGCTGAATCGGTCATCAGTGAACGCTGATCATTCGTTCCAGGTGGATGAGCTGTCGGCTATT